TGTTTAGTGCTATAAGAAACACACTTACTTCGTCTGAGTGTGTTTTTAATAGAAATTACTGATGATGTACACCTCGGTTTTTCGTTGTCAAGCTCTCTCCTCGCCGTTCCCTGACGGCTGTCTTTTTTTCACTACGCTTCATCAAACGATGAAGAGCAGAACGGAAAATCGCGTAGTCGCGGGACCAACGGTTCATTTGTAATAACCGAAATATAAACCCCGGAACATGGAATATTGAACGACACAAAACCCTAGTAGGGTTAATGTGTAATCGAACCAGACTAACGAGAAGCTACCTTCTCCAAAAATTGGATAGTGGTGGTTAGGTTAGAAATTTCCTACCTTTGGTTTCCAAGCACGCAAGTCACACTGACTTAAACCACCTAATCAGCGTCATCCTAACAACTTGGGAATCACCGGTATAGAGTCATTGTCCTGTAAATGTCAATGTTTGCTCTTCAGTTTGATGCAGCGCACTGAAATAAGTCATAATTCCTGTGACAATTGAGTATTTGCAGCCTTCTCACGACAAATTAGACCGTTTTGTTATTATGATCCGTTTTTCAAACTTCTCTTTTCATGTGCTGAATGGATCACACGAAACATGCTACTAGGTCAGGCTACCAGCGAAGATCCTCGCATTCTCGGAGGGCTTCTCATGCTGGGAGTTGGTATACTCATGATTGTAAGTTCTTGGTCTAATGTTCCGACAAACAATACATAGCTAGGCGATTGGATGCTCAGCTTTGCGAATGGCTTTCTCAAGCATCCGGGACTAGAAGACCTTCAAGAGCGATCATTACACCGTAAGCTGGCAATTTTGAACAAACAAATTATGTTTCGTTCAGGCATGCTGGATATGACTACTCAGGTCCTGTGGCTGCCTACGCTTTTAATCAGATCGTTCCAGATAATATGTGAGTTTCGCCCTTGTTTAACCGATTGTCCTTCAGCAAACGAATTTTTATCCTTGGGCCTTCGCATTACTTGCATTTAATGGGGAGATGTTCGCTTGCCACAGTTGCTCAATACAAAACTCCATTTTACGAGCTTCCAATTGATCAAACAGGTGTGACCTAAGTTTATAATCTTTAAGTTTGGCCACAGTTTATACAGAGTTAAGAAGAACCGGTGAATTCGACCAACTTTCTGTCGATCGTGATGAGGAAGAACATTCCATAGAAATGCAGCTGCCTTACATCGCCAAGGTGATGGAATCGTAAGTTTTATCTCCGGAGTGTGGTTCTGAATGTACGTTTCCAGTGATTCTTTAAAATGAGCTATTTGGGTCGTATTCATTTACTCCTGATTTCTACTCCATTGGACCAGAGTTTCGTCTCATCGTGCAATTAAGCGGTGATAGTCACATGGTTGAGGTTTCTGTCACTAGCGCGCTTTGGGCTATAGGATCCGGGGTTTTAATCCTGTCACCGTCACCAGACCCTGGCGTTTTTCTGCTTCGCTGTCACCCTGTGCTATCGAGGCCTCATATGGTTCACCATTCCAAGTCTCTGATTATCATGAACGAACTACCAGTTATCGTTACTTCGTGATTATCCCTCCTGCTATTCTTCATAACATGGTGCGTCATAAGTAGTAATGTATAGTTATATATAATATAATAATAATATAATATATATGTAATATATAATATATAGTAATATAGTAATAAACCTTTTCATCCATTCGAGCTGATGGCATTGCAACCTTGATACTTTGGACCTATTTCCTTCACATAAAGAGATTATAGATTAGGTTGTTCCATTTCTGCCAGATTCACTATCTCCCCGTGCTTCGTCA